TTTTAACACAAGTTACAAATATTGAAACTACTAAAAGACTATTAAAAATGCTACTAGCACTGAAATATTTTCAATCAAATTTTGGGATAATATTTCAATAGCTTAACATAAATTACGACGCCAGTGTGAAATATTGAAAATTATTAAAAACTTTACTATTTCCGTGCAAACTCTAACGAGCACAATTTTCCACTGGAATTGAATTAGAAAATTGTCAAAAACTGCGTTATCTCCGGTGCAGAGCTAGCATCCAATCAAATTTAACTTTCGAATTCACAATAATGGTGCTTCGATGTTTGAACGTTGCAAGTTAGTGCCAAAACACTGGAGAACTTGCGCTAAATACGAGCGCTGTTTCTCATAATAGCATTTTAATATTCCAACGTCAACGTCTAATACTGAAAACTATTAAGAATTTCCATTAGCCATTAGACGGGCAACTAACATCCAGCGAATTCTCCGATCGAAACAAGTAATTCCAAGCAACTGTTGCAACGCAGCAAGGATAATCAAGCAAGCCACCGATTGATCTCTGCCGGGCAGAGTTCATCACCGAGCTCGTTTACCATCATAACGGAGGTTTGAGGTGAAGCGATTGTTTCATTCGTCACTCGCGAAAGAATCAGAAGGTGAATATTTGCTCACAAGCTCTTTGAAGTCTCCAACACACACATACACAAAGTGGAAATATTGAAATTCGCGTCACGCAGCCTTTGCCTGCGCTTGAAAATCAATCGGCCATTTTGCGTTGCCTCGTTACGGTACAGCATTCGAGAGCCCACCATTCTTTGAGGTGATCGAACTCGACGATGGCAACGGATGCGTTTATATCACGAAGAAGAAGAAGAAGAAGAAGAAGAAGAAGAAGAAGAAGAAGAAGAAGAAGAAGGAGAAAAGGAAGAAAGACCGGGTTGTTCGGCAACAGCTGGTCGTTTACTTGTTGGCCACGGTATATCTCGGACACGAGTCCGAGGGACCGTTGTTACCAACCGATTTATCAAAACCGGCTAGCCAAGCTTCTTCTTCTTCTTCTTCTTCTCCTCCTCGCCTCCGGCACCGGTCGATGAGAAGACCGGTCCTGTAGCCCATTTCCCTTTCGTTCCCCGTCATTTGCTCCTTCCACTACCTCGCCAGCCACTACCAGCACTACTACTTTGCATGTCGGATCACGTATCGGGAAATTTCTTATTTTTTCGCCGTTGCCTCGCAGCTATCGGAGGGGACACCAGGTTGACAACGTTCCCTCGTAACGACGTTGCGAGAAACTCTCAAGAAGAGAGATCTCTCTCACAATGAGCAATGTTCTGCGTTCTTTTCCCTTTTTTCTCTCTCTCTCTTCAGTCGAGTACTTGCAAGATCTCTCTCTTCTTCAATAGTTTTTTCCACTCAATAAATTGATAATTATTTTTGCAGTGATGGGCAAACCTGTTACTTGGAATCTCTGTGCAAGGTAGATGGTCCTCGTTGAACGAACAGTTCAGTCCAT